AATTTNTTTCATTAATTACATACTGTTCATTCATATCTATAAAACTTTCGGAAATAAATAATTTTATTTAACTTGAGAAATTTTAAACTTAAACATAACATTTACCTCTGGAAAAATGATATGTTAGTAAAGTTTCTCTAAAGCCAAATTTTATTTTATTGAAAAAATGATAGATATATATCATAGAAAGAAATATTTTATCAACTTGAACTTGTGATAAAGCCTTCTGGTATTGAAAAATTGATATTCCTTATAAGAGTTCAAGCAGACGGTAAGGTTATTACTCGTCTGACTTTGAAAACTGGACAATTATTGTATTTACTACCATTGTTTTCATTGTAATATTTAAATTTTTGTTGTTAATATTTATGAAATTAAGTAGATTGAATATACTATTACAGCCGATATATTTACTTTCATCTGCCATTGATTTTTTTATATACTCTATAGAATTTCAACACGGAATACATAAGATATTTCAAAGTAGGTAGGTTATTTTTAATTAATTAATAAATGAGTGTTGAGAAAAATACAAAAATAAATTATAAAAAAACCAACATGATCCCTGTTTCAAAATAAAACTAAATTCATTAAAAAGTATTAAATATTATGTCATACTAATATAACACGAATGAATAAATTATTGAAATAATAAACAATGAAATATTAAAAAAATTAAACTATATTAATTACTAATAAATTTATATATAATGTATCGAAAAGTTTTTGTAATTAAATAAGTAAAAATTGACACGCCACACGAAAGCTATTATTTTGCATACACACTACGCCGCACGCCGTACCAATAAATAGTATCAACTAAACATAATTTATAAATTTAGCAAAATAACATTTGTTTCATGAACGGATTTATTTTGATTAAATATATATAAATTTACACGGTTTATCAATAAAATTTGAGTAAACTATTTTTGAATGAAAATTTTTATTGACATTGTATTTGTTTTAATAGTTATAGGCTATTTTATTCGTTTATTAGGTTAATATAAATGTAATACTTGTAAATGTAATAAATAAATAACTTTATTTTTAAGAAATTATAAAATCTTTTGATTAAATCAATAATTAGTATTCTTGAATCTTGAATTTTATTATTTAAATTTATTATAAGTTAATATTTAAAGTAAGTTATAATAAAAAATAGCAGTTACTAATAAATGGAACTTTTTTATTACCTTAATTTCCGATAAGATAAAAGCTAAATGGTTTAAAAAATATTAAATACAAAAGAACTTTGCTTAAATGAAAGTTTGAAAATTTTTACTTGCACAAAAAAAATAAAAATAGAAATTATATATTTTGAGAATTATAAATTTAAAATGGTTGAATAATTAACATAAAAAATAAATTAAGAAAGAGAATTATTAAAATAAAACTGTATTAAATAAAAAATGTTGTACCTATTCAATATGAAGATGGTTAATTCGTCACTGAAAAAACTATGGCGATATTATTACTGAATTGACTTCTCGCTCATCAAACATAGCCATGTACTCGTTATGGTATATGCCAAAAACTGTCACGTAATCGACTCTGCCAAGCTCTACCTATAATTCGTTTAAGACTTATATAGAATATATGATTAGCATAAATTATAAATTAAAATGATAGTATTCTATAGTGTAGTTTTAGTATTCATTAAGCTATTTTTGCGAGTCAAATTTAAAGTAAATTATTTTTTCCGTTTGTACAAAGAGGTGAAATGAGAAATTAATCTAAAAATTGGATTGACGTTTTAAAATTATTTAACATTATATTTTTTTGATATTTGATTAATGTTGTTCAAAGTAATTTATGATTCATTGGTATACTTAAATATTGTATATTTTGTAATATATACTTAATCTCTTTTTCATAAAGCATTAAAAAACTAGCGATAGAATTGTCGATAATAGTCATTAAATTCATAAAAATACATTTTTTCAAAAAATAATTAATTTTTTTGTCTAACTCTTTAAATTACGTTTTACGACTCAAAATATATTCGAAGATTGACCCGAATAAATTATTATTATAAAATACTGAATGCTATTATTATTATTTGTAAAATTCTAATCATGATTGTAATCATTCAAACTAGTAATGCATTTTTTATTTTTTATAATCTTGATTTTTGTGATCCATGTTACACAAAATCCAAATATTTAGATTTCTAACGTAATTTGTCAAATAATGTGATTCTGAAATGTTTTTTTTTAAAAGTGATTTATGTTCTATCATATTATACAAAAAAAAAGAGAACGGTTTCATACCCCTTAATACATTAATAATATTAAGATTTTCTTTTTTGCATAAAGTTTTCTTTAAAAAAAATTATTTTTTGCAAAGGATATTTCTTAAAGGACTTCTATATATGATTTAAAAATAAGAAATTATTATTTTTATGATAAATTACAATTTAAGACATAATCATCTAAATGCTATCAATTTAATAAAACTTATATATAAAAATAATCAATTTTCAAATAAAATTATAAATTAAAATTTTTTTCTTTCTTTATATTTATTATAATATATCAATTTGAGGTTTAATATATAATGTGTTTTTTTTTTGATAAAACATTTTAAAGTAAACAACTTTAAATAAATATTTTTTATAAGCTGTTGGTTTTGTACTCGGAATGGGTATTATAAATAATTGGAATACTTTCTATTCTATGATTATATTTCATTTGATGCAAATTCAAAAAAGTATTATTTATTCATAAATACAATTATGAAGTTGTTGGAAAATATAGGGGATGATTCATTTATCATAAATCATTAAATTACTTGCAAAATAAAGACAATATAAAAAATAATTTAATTGAAATAATAATTTAGTTTTTTTAGTTACTTATGTCAATTTCATTTTTTTATCAATAACTAATTAATTTTTGACATATTCTATATAATTTGTAGAGATGTCAACTTTTATTAATGTTATTTTTTTAATGGGAACATACAAATTTAAATAGCTTATTAATAGGAAATTTTCTAATTTAAAGGAAATGACTAGTTGATAACAACTTTTGGATCACTAATTCAGAAGTTATGGTGATTTTATAATATAGACTGAGGGATGAGCATGGATTTGACTATTTATATCATTAGAGATTTCTCAGTTATACTCCTCCACCTATCTAGGTATAAAAATGTAAATAATTTATAAAATAATGGATCAATAATTGTCATCGTCCTGCTATTTTCGAATAGATAATTTCCTATTTTATAAGCTTGTTAAATATTTATATTGCCATTAAAAAAAATTAAGTTGATACTCCATAAGTTCTAGGGGATGATACTAAAAAGTAATTAATAGCTAACGATAAAAAAGTATATGTAACTAAAAAAATATAATTATTTATTTATTTCAATACTATATTTATTTTGCGTATATAGAAAGTTCATAGTAATATTCAGAGGTGATTGGTTAAAATTTGAAAAATTCATTTTTTGAAATAATTTTTAAACTTATTTAATTGGTTATTATTTATTAATTAAAGAAGCACCAGTTCAATAAACTATAATGAAAAATTGCATTTTAAAAATTGAAAAGATTAGAGATACATTTTTTTTTGGCACAAAAAAATTTTAAATGCATATTATTTTGTTTTGTGTTATAAGAGTCGTATAATTTTTTTAGAAATTATTATTATATATGAATAGTGATTACAAAGCTATTTGTCTCTAATAATTTTATGCTTCTTTTCGTTCAAAAAATTAATAGCTATCTATAAATTGAAGTCTCCAGTTACATTTAAAAATACACCAATATGTCTGTATAAATTTTATTAATTAAAATAGTATGTTTGGTAAAAAAAAACCATAACTATATTGAGATTGATTGTATTTGGAGGTTTGAGAAGTCATATAAATACTCAAAATTTGTCTTTAATTTTTACATTTCATATTATTATGAAAGTATATTAAATTTTATACATAAGTTAAATATAAATCACAATCATAATAATAATAATAATTATAATTTGACTAGGATTTGGGCCGAATTTCGAGATTTTTTTTACATCTCAATTTTTAATGGTAATATCTTCAACTAGGTCAAAATTGTGTTCTTCTAACGTATTGGTCATCAAAATTGGTTCAGCGAGAGTTCAGAACTTTGATGGACAGACACAAAAGATGTACAAAACATAGAAATACAAAATGTACAGAGTTATTATTGTTAAAAAAGTTTATTGGTCTGTATAGATACCGTGTAACCCAAGATTTGTATTTTCATTACTTGAAAATGAAAAGTTTCTAACGCAAAATGGATAATTTTTTGTAAATATTTTACTCTTTTAAAAACAAAATTATCATCAGTTATATTGAATTTTTAATTTTTTATTTAAGTTATTTCGCTATATAATGAATGTAACGATTTTATTTGGGCTTAAAAGACGTGTAGTCAATTTTTTAAAAATTTTAATTAAAAATAAATATTTTCCAAAAAATTGCTTTGGTACTTTTTTATTTCATCATTTTCTGTAGGAATTAATTAAGTAGTTATATTGTAATGATGCCTAATTATAAATTTTCATTTTTGTCGTTTAAATATGATATTAAGATTTTTAAAAAAATTGTTTATGTCATTTTACTAAGCTTTCATATAATAAATAAACGTAACTTGTTATGTTTCAAAACAATTTTTATAATTTATAAGCCTTTAACATAATTTTGATTTTTCTAAAATTAAAATAACACTATACTTAATTTATTAAATGTGGCATTCTTTGAGTTTTGTAAGCATCTTGTACAGTTATCATAGACCCTCATTATGTAATTATAATTTAAGAAGCGTAAAATTCATATATTTTTTTTTAACAAAAATTTAAAAAGCCTCTTAGTATAATTAATATGAAATTAATACCAAAAAGAGACTGTAATTTTGGTTAAAGGGATTTAAATATAAAAGAGGAAAACAATTGATTGCTAAAAGTTCTTTTTAATATTTATAAGGCATTACTATTGACAAGTTAATTTTTATACTTTTGCAGGTTACTGGCAAATTACAGCTGTAAAATAAATAACGAGTTGTGCATATTTTGAGGAAATGGATGAATAAACTTTTTTGGTAACACGATACAATAAGTATTTTTAATTTATTAAAGTTTATTATTGTTCACGGATATACAAACATAACTAAAGTGTATTTCACAATAATATTTTTATTAAAGACTATGTCATTTGAAAAGAATTTTAAAAATATACTTCATATAATTTATTAACTAAAATACAATAAGAATACATTATTTTAAAACTTCGAAGTTGTTATTCGAGTCTATATTATAGCATTGTTACAACAAGACAAAATATGTTGTCTCTAATAATAACATAACTTATTTTGTAACAAAGCAGCATACACAATATCTTATTATGTATGTCCTTTTGTTAATAATACAATTGTTTTAATATTTGAAGTGTTATTACTTAGTCGTTGATAACACCTCGATTAAATTTCATGACATAATGCTTTAGTGTAAAAAATACGACGTGTATCCCCTACTTCATAGGGCAGAGTTACTCCTTTGTTAGTGCACTGTGTATTCGTAGTATTTCGTGGAAATTGGTATGAAAAGATGTCTAATACAAAATGATTATTCTCATAGTAAAATTAATAAACAAGTTATGATATTATTTTTAAACATTTTTTTTGTTTAGTACAAAATTTAAAAAAAGATTGATCCTGTTATAATGCGTGGCGAATATTCAAATTATTTCAATAATTAATCAACTTATATGAGAAACAACTTATGTTTACAATTTTAAAATAGTAGAAAACAATAAAAAACGGGGTTTGAGTTACTATTGGTGTGAAATCAAATACATTTGTGTTTTCTTTATTAAATAAGTATTTAAAAAAACAAAAAAACCGTTTTTTAAAATACCTAATATCTTGTGCGATATTTAGTTGCTCGACTAACTACTGTTAGCTAACAACTAATTTCTTCTTAAGTTACTGGATGCATTTTACATCTTATATATCTAGATAATTTTTAAAATCTTTCAAATGTTCTCAGTTCTTAAGCTGTTAAACAAATTTCAAAGTAAGTTTGAAAATGATGCGTCTATCCATAAAGACATAATGCATTATGAAAACTCCATATTCAAAATTTTGTGACTTACATTGTATCTTAAACATAGTGTATGTCGTATGTTATTACTTGGTTTCATTGAATATGAATATTAATTTACGAGTGCCTATTAATTTTTTTCTACGTTCTATACACCGGAAAGGAGTGACATTAATGTAAACAATTGAATTGGTTTTCAGATTCTAATAACTGTAGATGAACAAGAGTGAAATTATAAATAAAATTATTATTCAGAGAAAGTTGAGAGAGACAAGTTGACAGGTTTTATTACGTATAATGTTGATATATGGCGGTTGCTCAGGTAAAAGAGGTTATGTCAAAAAAATGTATATATTTTTTTTAACCTGATATTGGAACATAAACGTAACTTGTTATTTTATGTATATACCCTTATTTTTTCAAAATATTTTGTACAAATTTACTGTTTATTTTCCATAATTTTAACACATATGATTGGTGATAATGATTGTGATAAAATACATAGTTTAACTTATTATGGAAATAAATTAACTTATCCCCTTTTTCTGATCATCTAAAAATATGTTTTATAAATTTCTTCGCTTGAGTTTTATTTAATAGTTGAAATTGACTTATAAAGAAATATACTTAAAATGAAGTCATGTTGGAATAGGCTTTTTTTAATAGTTATCAATTTAAATCGTAAAAAAATTTAAAAAAATTGAATAAAAGAAATGTTACATTGTAGCTAAAATATTTATTTTATTATAATACAAAAAAACCGAACATTTTTGAGTATTATCTACCAAGACTTTATTAAAATATTTTTAATAACGGATTAGTATCGCATTGGATACAAATTTAGAGTATTTGAATTGAATTTTTATGATATATTCTATAATATTAAACTGTCATAAAAATATTTTGAAACATAGTGTAGCAAGTATAGTTAGAGATTAATTTATTTACACGTCATAATTTACATATATATTAAAAAATTGCAAACTCTTGACCACCAATAAATTTAATAGATAAACGGATTTTCTATTTGAATTAATATTGATTTATAATTTTATTGCATGAAAATAAGTCTAAATATATTACTATTGGTTGTTGTGTGTAGTAATAAATCAACTTTTGACTGATAGATTTTTAGAAAATAGTTCTAAGTTTTAATTTAATTAGTGTTTGGTCATCTTAAAAGTTAATGAATTCCAGATAAAACTATAAATCATGTCAAGGATATTATATAAGAAAAACTCGTCGTTGAGATACAGTACGTATAATAACAATGTAATAAATTTGTGGTTTAAAGTGTGCTCGTGATTACTTGGTATTTTATGAAACCATGAAAAGCGTATTGTAATAAAGATACATTTTTTAGCTTTTAATAACACTTGATATTTAGTGCAAAGTCATCACTATTTTAAATTTCTTAAATAAAATTTAAACATAATATGTTTTTTAATTCCAATTATTCTATTATTTATATTATTTTTGATACAAAAATATTGCATTTTTAATTATTATTTACTTTAAAAGTTTTCTTCCACACATTTTTACTAAGACATATAAAGCAAATTTGAAATATAATTGCACTTAGTTATGTTATTTATAATACCTGCACCAACCACTATATATCTCTATTAATTAGTGTTAATGTTATGAATCTAAAACAACTTTAGAACCATTATTTTAGACCATTACATTGTAAGATCAGAAAGGTCAAGTACTGCCGAATAAATCAAACGTAAAACTTATCCCTTACTTATACAAGACGATTGTTTTAAAGCTAGTCAATCGGTTTTCCTAAAAACATAATTATGTTAAGAAAATTATTTTTATATATCCTAGTTTATTATATTTCTTGATTTACCAATTATTAAGTACTTTTTTAATTTAACCCATATATGGAATAAAACACCTTAAATTTCTCTCTATTTACATACATGAATAATATTTGTATAATAGAAATTTTGTTCAAATAAAATTGTATAATAATTTTTATAATAAAATATATTATTTAATTTGTTAACTTATTATTATAAATAATAGAATATTATAATTTTATAAATAATGATTGTATTTCATTAGTATTTTTAATAAAAAGATTTTAGAACGTTACACTGTAGACAAGACACTCATATTTTCAGAAACTAAGAATTAAAAATGTTTAATGCTTGTTATGAAAAAAAAATATTTGATAAAAACAACTACTATGTTAAGAGAATGTGGAACAAGAATATTGGACGTTTATTAATGTTCAACATTTGTACTATAACCTATATACAAAAGCGTAAAACAATTAGATAAGATTATAAAGCTTAAACTCTGTTCATAAAAAATGACAATATTGATCTGCTTATGGAACCAACTAAAATAGTCGATACAATTCCGTTACCACTTTAAGGAGTTACTAAATAACAACTGCACAAATAGAAACTATTAAAATTATGAGTAATTGATTTATCAAATAACAGAACCGGAGTTGACTCAACCAGATCTGGAAGAAATAGAGCTTATCATTAAAGATTTAAAAATTTTAAAGTTCTAGAAGAGGACGATATTAAACCGGGACTATTAAAACTGGTGGGAAAAGATCTTGTGACAAATCTATACTTTTCAATAAAAGATGTATGGGAGATAAAATATATGCCTAAGGACTGGAACCTAGGGATTATATGTTCAATCTTTAAAAAAGATATAAAGAAAGTAACAAACTATCGTGGAATCATATTTGGATACCGAAAATCACAAAATATTTTTATAATGGACTGATAAAACCATACAAAATGTAATAACATTTATACTGATTTCAAAAATTAGTTCTAGAATTCGAATATGAAAAATTATACTTGAGAACTCATTTTTAAAACAAAAGATCGAATGAATTTAAAGATGTTAAAATATCCTCATTACGTATCACGTACATTTTTTCGTCAAATTAGGGATTAAAATTTAAAATTGAATTTTTTAAAAGGGAACTCCTATTTTTAAATTGATTATATGCTAGAAAAAAATGTTACAAACAATTTTGTTTTTATGTTTATGAGGACCAACTGTTTATTTATTACAAAATGTTCGATTCAGTGATTTAGATCAATTTAAGATAATTATAGGTAAGATGTTTTATCCTTAAGAGGATGAAAAATAAATTGTTTTACTATATTGTAAAGTTTTTTAAATTTATATTTTTTCAAAAGTTTCTGAGAAAATTAGTGTTTTACCTTAATAGATCACTTTGTATAATATGCTTAACGAAAACAACTACTTATAGAACACAGACTTTATTTTTCTTTACTTATACTCAACGTAAATTTATCTACTTAGTAGCAATAATTTACAATAAATTGTATTATAAAAATATGACATTATCTTTAAAAATGAATTTCATTTTTCTTTGTTGGTTTTTGATAGATACTATAACATTTAATTTACGTTTGAATTCGTTTAAATATTAAGCTTGAAGACTCTATCAATAGTATTTTTAAATTGTAACGCGTGTAAATCAGATGGATAGTATTTACACAATTAGTACTCTGATACATAAGTTTAAATCGATCAATATTGCGTTTCATAGTAATATAATCGTAACTTTTGATATTTATTTAAAGTATATATGTTCCTAAAATATGATCAAGAACTGATTCAAAGTCTTTTACGAAATTGAATGCTCTTTGATACATATGGTGGTTACAAGTAAATATTTAGTCTCAGTAATCAGGATATATTTGAATAAATATTCTTGGTTTATATTTACATAATTATTCCTGAAGCGTGTATTCTAAAGATATCATTATTTTGTTAATTTTTGGAGATTCTGGAAAAATAAATATAATAGATAAATTAATAATAAATTATCAAAGATAATTTACAGCTTAAATTTCCGAAAAAGCAAATATTTTTCTTTTAATTTGACCTAGATAAATTAAACAAACTATTATCGAAAAAAGTGTCAAAATGTTGTTTCCAACATTTTCTAGTCACGTTTTATAATATGTAATATAGATATGTTATGTTA